CTGCAATATAACAAAGAGTGAAAAATTTAAGGGGGTCTGAATACTTTCCGTACCCACTTTATATATATATATATATATATTAGTCAATATATTTACCGTTTTAGTGATTTAAATTAATTTCTATAATTTTCTATTATTAATTTCTATTTCAATAAAATTAAATACTTCATGGAACAAACTAGAGATATGCTTATAATTACAAAATTATATTTATAATTATAAATAGGCAAATGTTGAATACTTTATATGATCATATATTATCATAAAAAATACATCAATTTAATTGTCTTTTAAATGATGTGCTAGTAACCAGTATATGTTGAGTTTTGGACAGGTGGTGGTTTGCTGGTTGTTTAGCATCAGACCAAACCCTGCTTTACTAGTTTAACTAGCAAGACCAGCTTGGTCAATCAGAATGGCTGGTTGACCATCAGGTCAAGCAGCAGGTCAGTACTAACCTGAACGAGCAAGAAATTCAAACTGCGTTTCTTTTTCCATCAGGCAAAGAACATCTTCCTCTTCCTCCATTTCTAGATGAGCAGCAGTTTATTTTTACTCACGCGGCTCGGGTTAATGCAGACCACGTGACGCAGACATATGGCTCTCCGGGAGGCTTTAAATGAGGGAATATGGACACTGACAAATTTGGATTGTCTTCAGGAGACAAGTGTCAGCAGGAATGTAGGTCATATGCAAGTTATTACTTGTGTGTGGATCATGCGTGAACTTGACATAAAACACCATATCAACAAACTGAATCAGTAGATTTTTATGACCATCATAACCAGTCCGAGATAATAAAAAAAATTAATGTCTTATCATAGGAAAATAAGTATCAAAGGATATTTACTTAGAGAGTTTTGGATCACTTGCTTGGTTATCTTAGGCTAGTTTGATTTATTTTTGTTGTTGTTTTTTGTTTGTTTGTTTCAAATTTGTCTTATATTTAAAATAAATTATATGTATGTTGTTGTCTTAGATTATATAGAAATATAGTATTTATTTACAGCATATTGGCTCAGTTTATTTTTTATAGTTTTATAAAAGCAAATCGCAACAAAATACATATTAAAACAATTTTAATTCATATTTAAATGTATGTAAATATATTCACTAAATAATTAATATGTTATATACGTTACTGAAAAAAAATTAGAGTTATGCAATATATTTTATGCAAATAGCAACAAAATAGACATTTAAATAAAATGTTAAATATCTGTAAATATATTAAATACTTTATTTTCTATTGAACTGACTGTCTGTATGTATGTATAACTGTATATAATAATAAAAAATAATAATAATAATAGTAATACATTTACGCGCTTTTCTCATACCAAAGCGCTAGTATAATATATGTACATAAAGTATATTTTCCGAATTACAGATGCAAGTACAGTTGTTTTTTTTCTAGATCAATTTTTTTTCATTCTAGTTTTTGCTGTAATCGTTTTATCGTTTGCGCGCTTGATAATCTTGGTGCGCATTTGGAGACGCGCGCTTTACGCACAAGGTTTATGCTTCAGAATGAGACAAATAAACATTTTGTTCATCGAATTATAGATCAGTATCGACGTACATACATTCTGGCGAGCCGCTTGCACTTTTTCTCCCAAGCAAGTCACATATTCCATGATCCATAAGCCCGAGAGCTCGTTTATGCTGCGTATCTCCTTGAAAGGCAAAAAAGCGTTTTCTCACCTGCTTCCAGAAGTAAATTAAAGGTGACCTTCAGCCCTTATTTTAGGCACTATCATTTAGATGGCAATTCCTCGAAGAATAATGTTTCTGCCTCAGGTGTGTGGAAATATATTCCTTTTGGGAAATCTTGTGCTCAAACCATTAAAGACCATCTTCGTGAAATCACACAAAGATCAGTGCAGCTCTGGACACCTAGATTTACGAATGAAATAATTTCAAAGCGTAGCAGCGTTAGTTTGATGTCGGGAGGAAACACGGGGAAGATTTTATTCAACAAACCCAACAGAGAAACAACCAGGAGCGCCAAAGACACAGAGAGTTTATTCGCTACTGTAAACTACATACAATGTCCAAAACCAGGTGGAAAGCAACGCTTCTGCTTGTGGTTTGTTTTACACATTTGGCACTTTTAGACACACAAGTAAAGACTCAATGTAATGTTTGATACTTACTGTAGTCTAAACTGTATCTGAGTCTCTTCTGCTGAGGGAGTGTGAGTGTCTGCTCGGCTCTCGGCTCTTATGGAGGTTGTGAGGGGGGTTCCAGCTCATTTCTATTCCTGCTCGCAGTGTCACGTTACTCTATCAGCAGCTCTGGCCATGTTTGGCTTTGCAAGTCCTCGCTGTGATTTGACTGAGCGACACATACAAGGAATGTGAAATCAAGTAATACTGAATATGCTGTGGCAAACGATGCTCTATTAATGTTTTGTGTTTCACAATTCCTTATTTGGTTATATACACTACCAGTCAAAAGTTTTTGAACAGTAAGATTTTTAATGTTTTTGAAAGAAGTCTCTTCTGCTCACCGAGGCTGCATTTATTTGATCCAAAATACTGCAAAAGCAGTAAAATTGTGAAATATTTTTACTATTTAAAATAACTGCTTTCTATTTGAATATATTTTAACATGTAATTTATTTATATGATCAAAGCTGTATTTTCAGCATCATTACTCCAGTCTTCAGTGTCACATGATCTTCAGAAATCATTCTAATATGCTGATTTGCTGCTCAAAAAACATTTATTATTATTATGTTGAAAACAGCTGTGAAGATTTTTTCAGGATTCTTTGATGAATAGAAAGTTCAGAAGAACAGCATTTATCTGAAATAGAAATCTTTTGTAACATTATAAATGTCTTTATCATCCCTTTTGATCAATTTAAAGCATCCTTGCTAAATAAAAGTATTAATTTCTATAATTTCTCCCCCGGTATATCAATGGTACTGACTCCAAGCTTTTGAATGGTAGAGTGTATAATGTTACAAAAGCTTTTTATTTCAGATAAATGCTTATCTTTGGATCTTTCTATTCATCAAAGTGTCCTGAAAAAAAACTCAACTGTTTTAAATAATAATAATAATAAATGTTTTTTGAGCAGCAAATCAGAATATTAAAATGATTCTGAAGGATCATGTGACATTGAAGACACTGGAGTAATGATGCTGAAAAAATCAGCTTTGAAATCACAGGAATAAATTACATTTTAAAATATATTCAAATAGAAAGCAGTTATTTTAAATAGTAAAAAACATTTCACAATATATATTTTAGATCAAATAAATGCAGGTTGGTGAACAGAAGAGACTTCTTTAAAAAACATAAAAAATCTTACTGTTCAAAAACTTTTGACTGGTAGTGTGTGTGTTGTTACGCTGAAAAAATGTTTCATTCATCCAATTAAAAAAAATTAGGTTAATGATTCACATCTATATTTTTTAACTTGAGCCAATGAAAAATAAATAACATGCCCCAAGGGTAAACATTTTTTTAATTGGATGAATGAAACATTTTTTTCAGTGTATTCCCATAAAGTACTTCGACTCTGTACTGATGCATGGGAGAAACGAACCTTTTCGAAGCTTCGAATCAATTGAACCTTTTGCTTCGCAAAATGATTCACTGTTCCGAAGCTCTGCACGCTGGTGACGCCTGCTGGTCAAAACTGTGCAAGTGCAATAAAAACTCACGCCAAAACATGCGTAAAACTAGCCTTTACAAACCCATTGCAAATGTTTTACTGAAAGTATATTATATTAAATGCAATTAACAAAGCATCATATACTATTAAATATGAGAAAATATGAAGTGTCTGTATATATTGACCTTCGTCACATTATAATTTGCCATATTATATGGGGTAAGTTGACATTGGGAACCAGTGTCTTTTTTTTATTTTTTTTAGTATAATTAATTTATATACTATTTTAGTTTTTGTTAATATTTTGAAAAAATAGACATTTTATATTTTCCTGTTTTCATTAAACTTTTAGTTAATTTTAGCAATTTTGTTGTGCGTTTGTCATATTTATTAGTTTTTAAATTACTGTTTGTTTTATTTTTTAAATCCCTTTTAGTTTAGGTTTTTATTTTATTTTTAGTTAGTAATTTTATTGCTTAATTTCAAACTTAAGTAATTTTATGTTTTTTTTAAATATGTCTAAATAGTTTTTTTTTATTATGTTTTAGTTTAATTAGACTACTTAAACGAAACAAAATAGTATATTTAAGTTTATTCCAGTTAATTTTTATTTTATTTCAAGTAATAACAATGATGTTTATGGTTTTAGTTTTAGTTATTGATAATAACCTTGTTGGGAACCTGCTATTATTATTAACCTTATAAGGGACATTTCAGCCAAATTTAAATTATAAGAAAATTAAGAAACACAAAAGCATTCATGAAACATAAAAAAATAATAATAAAAGGTAGCATTTAAAAATATTGTTTTGACATTATGAAAAACACATTTTTTTCAAGCTTTTTATACAGTGATTTTCTTCTTAATGTGTGTCAGTGTGTTGTTATTGCTGTTGAATGAATGTTTGAGAATATAAAAAATCAGTGCTAGAGAAATGAATTGTGGGGGATTTGATGACATGAATCTGCTTCAGTCTGTGTGTTTTCTGTTAGTGCGCGCTGCCATCTAGTGGACTTTGTCAGTCTCACCAACATTTCCTTCTTTAAGCTGATGTTCAGTGTGTCTTTATCTTTAGTTGTGAACCTCACCAAATTCAACTGTGGTAGATTTGAATTAAGCAAACAAATCTTGGCATTTAAATTGCACTAAATTATTTATATTTTGACAGAGAAACATGGACTGTGTTATTTAGGATTGTTCTAAATGAACAGGTCTGGAGAGTGATGTGGCTCAGTGTTTTTTGACAGGAGGATGGTTTGTTTGTTGAGCAGATGCGTTCAGAAGAACAGCTCACAAACATCTCACCAGAATACCAGTGTGCAGCGTTTACTTCAGAGAAATAATGAGTCTTTCCACAAATATATAGTGCCAAATAATAATGAAGTCAATCTCAACTGTTATAAATAGTTTTCAACAGTGAAAAGAGTTGATTCATCTAAAGAATGTTGTTTCTTCACCTCAGAAAGTCAAAAAGAAGGTTTTATTTTTTCATGTTGCAGCATTAGAACTTTGGACTGAATTCTGATGACTGTTTGAATATCAAATTAAATACACCATCATGGAAAACAGGGCTGCAGATTTAACTATAACTAAGTAGAGGCTAACCATTTTAGGACCAAATGTTGGTTTTAGTGATAAACTTGTAGGTCTACAACCCATAAATTACAGAAAGTTGTATAGTATTTGATTTGTCTTGGTTTTGCTTTAATAAAAGATTTTATTCAGAATCCTGAAAAACGAAAAAGCCTATATCACTTAAATGATCATTTTTTATTATCATTATCATTTTATACATAATTAGTATTTTTCCAAATCTGTTTTTTTTTAAACTTTTTTTCAAAGTCCTGAGTGTTTGTGTTGTGTCTCTCTCTTGCTTTAATGACAGCATTTTTTTTTTCTTTCAAAAAAAACAAAACAAATTAAAGTTCTTTCCCTCCACAATCCTGTTAAATGTATGCTGATATTTAAATGATGGAAAGTTTTATAGTATTTTTATCCCTCACAGTCCTTATAAACGTATAGGCCCATATATATATATATATATATATATATATATACTGTATATATATATCCCATAAATTACAGAAAGTAGTATTTGTTTTGTGTCTCTCTTTTGCTTTAATGCCAGCATTTTTGATGTTGTTGTTGTTCAAAAAAATCAATCTTTTAAATTTTTTTCCCATAATCCTGAAAAATGTATAGGCCTATATCCCATAAATTACCGGTACATGAAGTTTTATAGTATTTATTTTGTGTTTCTCTTTTGCTTTAATTACAGCAGTTTTCTTTTCAAAATCTTTTTTTTTTAATTCTGAAAAACCCATACATTTAATAAGTTTTATCGTTTGTATCTCTCTTTTGCATTTTTTTAAAGATTTCTGAAATACTTAAGTATAATTCCCATAAATTACAAAAAGTTTTATAGTATTTGGTTTGTTTCTTTTGCTTTAATGGCAGCATTTTTAATTTGTTTATTTTATTTTTTATTTACTTATGCAGTTTTTATTTATTTATTTTCCAGACTCCATTGCACAGACTAGATACGTTATAGTTTTCATGTAAATTTTGAAAATGTATCAAACATAACCTAACTCTCTCCAATGAATACTTGCCTGCATTGCTTTAACAGAACTAATGAGCCACCAGTTTGTTCGGCGAGGAAAGAGTAAAGCGCGAGTATCCCTGACCGTGCATGCACGCGTGAACTCCCACAATCTGATAAAGGTTCGTCCGCGGACCTTCGGTCCGTTTCCAGTATCTCGAGGAAGATCGGACTATGCCGTTTACGCACCTCAGAGTGCCACATCCACTGGCAGAGGAACATCTGTGCTGGGAGCCCATATCAGTGACCGTCCGGCTCTAAAATCCATCTCAAGATGTCAAACTTGCTTTTGGTTTTCTATTTACTTCAAGGCCTGAATAACTTTATCAGCGCGCAAAACTCCGCGCCCTGGAGGAACCGGATCAAGTGGGTGAATAACGGCCAGGTGTTCAGTTTAATGAGCACCGGCTCGGAGTATCACGCACCGGTGGCGTCCAGAAGACAGTCCAGGGTGATTCTAAGCAACAATAGAGATGCTGTCCGGGACAGGACCATGCAAATTCGAGTGGAAGTGTCCGATTCTGCGGCCACTAATAGCGGCAGCACCGCGCTTTTGGGTCCGGACCGCATGCAATACATCGCGGCCAACAGCCGCGCGCCTGGCGCCAGACAAATGCAGGTGCGTCAGCGGCTCAGAGCACCTCCAGGAACCAGATCCAACGCCACCGCTCCGTCCGAATACTCCGGCGGCGGAAGAACCTCGGCACAAGGGGAAAATACCGCACGGAGGGCACCAGCGGTTGCCAATCTCCAACACCTGGAAGCGCCTACGGAGAATTCAAACACTTTAACTAATGGAAACTATAATGAAGCGGGGCTCTCCAGAGCGCAAACGCCAAATGTGGAGCAGGGAACCACGTCTGAAAGTATGGCAGGAGATGATCCGCGAAACAGGAATACGGTTTTCTATAACATCTATCCGCCCGACGGCAGGACGGTCATCCCGCGCCGCGCGCCGCCTGGCACCGGTTACGGCACCAGATACTTCCAAAACGG